TAGGAGTCAGGAAATATTTCCCAGGGGAGGAGACACCTGAGCTGAGTCTCAAAGGCCAGAAGAATAAAGAGCTTTCGAGATGGAAAGCACAGAGAGCCTAGCGCTGAGGAGGTGTAACAGCCCTTCCTACAGTGTGAGAGGGAAGCAGGAAAAAACATAAGACTGGAAAGGTAGGCTAGGACCAAATCATGGAGGGTCTTGAATGCCACAGATAGAATAATTAATGGTAATATTAGTAGCAATGAATGCTATGAGTCAAGCTCTCTGCTAAGTACTTTTACTTGTATTCTCTTATCTCATCCTCTCAAATATGTGAAACTAGTTGCTATAGTTATCCTGATTTGCAGCTGAAGCTGAGCATGTGATTTAGTAACTTACTGAAGGTTATACAGCTAATAAGTGGCAAAGTCAAGACTTGAACCTAGGTCTCCCTGACTCCAAAGTTCATGCCCTGTGCTGCCCCGTGTGAGCTTGAACTTTATCCATTCCACAAGGGTTTGGACTTCATCCTGTCCCATAGGAAGGCATTGAAAGCTCTTAAACAGGGAAACAACCTGAAAAATGTGTGTATTAGAAATATCCCCTCCGGGACATCCCTGGTGGCACAGTGGTTAAGAATCCATCTGCCAATGCAGGGAACACAGGTTCAACCCCTGGTCTGGGAAGATCCCACATGCCGTGGAGCAACTAAGCCCATGCACCACAACTACTGAACTCGCACGCCTAGAGCTCCTGCTCCACAACAAGAGAAGCCACTGCAATGAGAAGCCCGCGTACTGCAACAAAGAGTAGCCCCTGCTCGCCGCAACTAGAGAAAGCCCGTGCGCAGCAATGAAGACCTAACACAGCCAAAAATAAATAAAATAAATAAATTTAAAAAAAGAAAGAAAGAAAGAAATATCCCCTCTGTTGATTATGCAAGTTGGACAGAGTAAGACAAAACCGGTCTCTTCTGTAAGTCCACCTTTTCTGTGTGCCTGCCTTTGCCTAGACCTGCATCTTACCTCCCAGGTCCCTGAGCCCATTTACTGGATGGGAGGCCAAGACAACTGATTTGCTGTGTGACCTTAAGCAGGACCTGACCTCACTGGGCCTCATATTCCTTACAGAATAGGAAGGGGCTACTCACAGATTCTTAGGGCTCTCTCCAGTTCTGACATTATTCTTCCCTCTGATGTTCTCTGGGATTATGTAGCTAAATGTGCCACTTTTAGCCATTCATGACACCCTCAAGAAAGTTGACATCTGCATTTTTTTTTTTTTTTTTGCACTATCATGAAGTGCCAATGGCTCTTCCTCCCAGTATAAAAGTGTTGTTTTGGGCCACTATTCAACATAAAGCTTTGTTCTCCTGACCCTCTGGTGTCATCGCTAGTTTGTCTCTACAGAATCCTTTTGAAGACACCTTTGCCTTCCAGAGCCACTAACTCCAAGGGGGAAGCTATTTATAAGCCTCTGACAGTATATAATTGCTGACTGCATCTAGCTGAGGAGTTGTCAGCAAGTAGCATTACACCGGAAATTTGGGCTCCCCAAATTTGGGCTCCCCAAATGCCCACAGAGGTGTCAACTGTCACTTCCTTGAGAACTGAGGAAAGTTTGCATTCCATTTAAATGTAGTCCAGGAACTAAATTGGGGGCAGGGAGGGTAGCTGTAAACCAAATGGTGAATATGCCCTCTGGCTTGTGCCCTGAAGAGTACTTGAGTAGGACTAGCCCCTCAGTCTTAGTGGAAGGGCAGATACTAATGAGTGTGGGACAAGAGTGTGGTGCTCATGAGTGTGGGCTTTGGAGCCAGACTGCCTGCGTTCAAAGCCCCGCTCCAGTTCTTACAGGTGATACAAACTTGAGCAAGTTACCTAACATGGCTGTGCCTCAGATTTCCCCATGTGGAAAATGTGGATATTGTGGGTTTAAGTGAGTCATTGTGTGTGAGGTCATAAGAACAGTGTTGAGCATGTAGTGACTGCTCAACAAAATGTTGGATATTATTATTATTAGGGTTCCAGGGGCCATCAGAGGCCCCACTAACCTAAAGAAACAAGTATGCCATAAGGCTGTGATCCCCAAAGTATGCTCCCATCCCAGCTTTACCAGCACCTTGTTACAAATGCAGATTCTCAGGCCCCACACTGACCCACTAATCAGACTCTCTGGGGGTGGAGGCCATGGATCTGGGCTTTACAGACACTCTGGTGACATTGGTGCATGATGAAATCTGAGAACCATAAGCATCCCTCCTTCCTCCTAAAACACCCCTCATGGTAACTCCTCTAAGATGGATAAACATGGCAGAGTGGCTATGACTTGGGCAGGTCTTTCCCTTTGCTTGAGCGTCACTTTTCCCCATTGTAAAATGGGTGAAAACACAGCGTTGTCGTGCGGAGGCAATGAAATTACGGAAATGACAAGATCTTATGGCCCATCCTACCTATTTTGTCTTCCTGGAAGACCTTAGGAAAATATCCCTGGGACATAAGGCTGTCCCCTGCTGATTTAGCAGTTTAGTTCACTGGCTTTGGAAACATACATATATTTACTGTAAAGAGAAAACCAACAGATAGGCGAGGCTCTGGGTGACTCCCAGCAGGTGGCTTCCTCCTCTCTAGGCTCCAGTTCCTCCCAGCCATTTGTAAACCTTGGAGCAGAGGGCCTCCAGACCAGATGACTGAGAGGAGAGGAATAGCTTCAGAATGACCAGGACTCAAATCTGGGCTCCAGCCGAGTGACATGGGCAATTTACCGCACCTCTCTGAGCCTTTCTGTAAAATGAAAACCATCATCTTCCCCATTCAAGGCTGTTGAGACAACTAAATGAGATCTCTTGCCCAAGAGATCCATACTAAGCACCTACTATGTGCAGGCTCTGTTCTGGCTCTGCAGATACGGTGATGACCAAGACCATGACCTGCCCTCATGTAGCTAATATTTTAAAGCTGGAGACAGATATTCCATGTCTAGTTACAAAGTTAATTACCTTATTACCACTGCTATGGATACATGATGACATAAGAGGGACCCAGTCTGATGTGTGGGGTTAAGGGCAGGTGAGGACCTGGTCTGAGAGCAGGTCTGAACTTAGTGGGAAAAACTGTAGCAAAAGTACAGAATCTTTAAGGCCACTTTGAGAATTTTGAGCAATAAGAAGCAATAAAGGATCAGCAGGAGTGTGAAGGAGGAGCGTGAAGTGATCAAATCAGAATTTTTCAAAGAACCCTCTTACTAAAAAAAACAAAAAAGGGCTTCCCTGGTGGTGCAGTGGTTGAGAGTCCGCCTGCCGATGCAGGGGACACGGGTTCGTGCCCTGGTCCGGGAAGATGCCACATGTAGCGGAGCGGCTGGGCCCGTGAGCCATGGCTGCTGAGCCTGTGCGTCTGGAGCCTGTGCTCTGCAACGGGAGGGGCCACAACAGTGAGAGGCCCGCGTACTGCAAAAAAAAAAAAAAAAAAAAATACCATACCAAGTGCTGGTAAGGATGTGGAGCAACAGGAACTCTCATAGAGCTCTGTGCAAATGGTTACAACTATTTTGACAATCGTTATGTTGTACACCGGAAACTAATATAATGGTGTATGTCAATTATGCCTCAATATAAATAAATGAACAAATAAGAAAAGCAGTTTGGCAGCTTTGTTATGAAGTTAGAAATACTCTTACTGTGCAGCCCAGCAATCCCTCTAGGTACTTCCCCAGGTGAAATTAAACACATGTTCACACACACCAAAAAAATAATGGAGATGAACGTTTGCAGTGGTTTTATGTATAATCATGAAACAATCCAGATGCCCATTGACTGGTCAGGGGGTAAATAAACCCTGTACATCCCTTCAATGCTCCTCAGCAGCAAAAAGAAGCACATCACTGATACACATAACAACATGGATCAATCTCATAAGAATGTTGCTGAGTGAAACAGACTCCAAAGAGTACCTACTATATTATCTTATTTATAGGATACTTCAGAAAAGCCATGACTACACGGATAGAAAACAGATCAGTGGCTGCCAGGGGGTAAGTGGAGTTGGTGGGGTTGACTGCCAAGGGTCATGGGGGAATATTTTAGCGTGACAGAATTGTTTTATATTTTGATTATAGTGGTGGTTACCTGACTGTGTGTGTTTGTCAAAATTCACAGAACTGAACACTATATAGTGTTCAGTGAATTTTATTGTTTATGAATAATAACTTTTAAAAACAACACATTTGCTACAGAGAGAGAACAGATTATGCTGGAGGACAATTAGAACACCTTTACAGGTAAGAGATAAGAGATGAAGGTACCTGGGCTGGCATGTGGAAGTGAGGATAGAGAAGTGGGCAGACTCAAGAGCTAGTTAGGAGGGGAGGCAGCAGAAGGGTGGCATCTTACAGGATCATTCTCGCTGCTCTCTTTGTATCATTTATATGAGCCATAAGTATATATAGACAACTTCCAAATGTATACCTACAATTCCTGCCAGTTAGAACATTTTATGGCCTCATAGATTCATAAGGGGAAGAAGGAGACAGGGGCAGTCAGGTGAGTGGGCAGAGGCATCATTGGGGACCCAGCGGAACAGAAATTCACATATGATCTCACTTATATGTGGAATCGAAATGGTGATCATTTCACAATACATAGAAATAGGGAATGATTATGCTGTACACAGTATAATGTTGTATGTCAGTTATACCTTAATAAAAACATTTTCTTTCCTTCTTTCTTTTTTTTTTTTTGACTGCGTTGGGTTTTAGTTGCGACACACGGGATCTTAGGCATGTGGGATTTTATCGTTACGGCGTGCTGTCTGCTCGTGTTTCTCTCCATTTGTGGCGTGCGGGTTTTCTCTCTCCAGTTGCGGAGCGCAGGCTCCAGGGCGTGTGAGCTCTGTAGTTTGTGGCACGCAGGCTCTCTCTTTGAGGCACGTGAACTCAGTAGTTGGGGCACGCAGGCTCAGTTGCCCCACGGCATGTGGGATCTTAGTTCCCCGACCAGGGATTGAAACCCACGTCCCCTGCGTTGGAAGGCGGATTCTTTACCACTGGACCACCAGGGAAGTCCCTAATTATTGTTTTTTAAAAGACACACCTAAGGTGTGAACAGGGTCCTGAGTGATGGCTGCAGAGGGACAACCAGCCCCTGTTCATGAATAAGGAGACCAAGAGCACCATAGTGAGCAAATTCATTGACACTGTTGATCTTAATAGAGACTCCAGATCTAATGTGTCATCTCATGCCCCTGGAGATGTCTCTAACTGCTTACTTGGTGACTGACTAAAACTTGAACCAGCAGTGAGTGTCATCTAATGAGACTGGGATGCCAGAGCCTGGATTTATATGCCTGAATTACATGGAGGAGGAAATTCAAAGGCATAGGGACATGAGAAGTTTTGACTGGATTTATCATGTGCAGCCTGCACACCCACCCACCAACTGTGTTCCATGAGAAGGCCCAGGAGACACTGCCTTGACTAAGGCCTCAAGAGGGGAGCACATGTGTCCCTGAAAGCTCTGTGGTTGATCTCTTTGAATGACAGATTCAACCACAGGGAGTGTCACCATTGATACAGGCTCCCTGATTCCAATGAAAATGATGGGATCCTGAAGTAGCGGAAGACAAATGGCAGCACTTAACTAAGACCAGGTGGGCACATCTATCTTAAAGGGCAGTAGGGAATGTCCCAGTAAGTAGAACGTCTTGGTCCACAGAGGTCTTTGATAATGTTTAATTGATCATGGAGTCCTACGAATGAAATAGATGGGCACCCTACTAGAGAACTGTTTGACTTCTGTAACAGGAAAAATTCTAGATCTGGTAGCCAAAAATCTGGCAGTCTCGACTGTGAAGAGTCATGGCTCTCACTCAGTTTTGAAACCTAAGTCAATTCACACACATAGAGCCCTTCTATTGTAGGGGATGTGGGGTATTACTGAAGAATGGCTCTGCACTATTGTCTCAGGTACACACAGTGAATCTTCCTCTAAGCATTCCCCCAAAGGACCTGCAGCCACTTGCTAGAGTGACTGTGTTATAAGGAAAAAGAAATTTTCAGAGATTACTATCCACGGGCCCTGAACTGATGCTAATTCCTGGGGACCCAAAATGTTACTGTGGTCCAAAATGGGGTTGTAGTGTCAAGTAATAGCATTTCAGCTCAAGTCAGAATCATGGTAGACCCAGTCTGTCCACAAATCTACCCTGTGGGTTATGTTCTCAGTTTCTAAATTTGTTATTTAAATAGACATACTTGACAACTTGCAGAATCCCCATATTGGCTCCCTGAGCAATGGGATGAGGATCATTATGGTAGGAAAGACTAAGCAGAAACACTTGGAACTTCCCCTCTTACTGCTGTGGTGAATCGGAAGCAATACCACATCACTGGGGAAATTGCAAAGATTAATGCCTTTGAAATCTTGAAAAAAGTAGGAATACTGTTACTTATTATATCTCCCATTTAGCTTTCCAGTTTCTCCCATGCAGAAGTCAGATGGATCTTGAAAAATGAGATCCTAACTATTATAAACTTCATCAGGTGGTGATCCCCACTGAAGTTGCTGCTTCAGGTGCAGTATCTTTACTGGAACAATTAACACGGCCCCGGCACTTAGTAAGCAGCGACTTATGCCTAATGCCTCCCTGCACCCCATACCAATGTATAAGGACAATCAGAAGCAGCTTGCTTTTACCTATCAGGGACGACAGTCTACCTTCCCAGCCATGCCTCAAGAACACATCAATTCTCCTGTTCTCTGCCATAACATAATCCACAGAGATCTTGATTGTCTTGAGAGTCCACAAAGCATCACACTGGGCCACTGCATTGATGACATTTTGCTCGCTGGATCTGATGAACAGAAAGTAACAAGTATTTTAGACACCTTAGAAGGGCATATATGAACAAAGGGTGAGAGATAAAGTGTTGGGGATTCAATGGTCTGAAGTATGTCAAGATTATCTCCTCTAAGGTGAAAAACAGGTTACACTACCTCGCACCACTTACAATGAAAATAGATACAATACTTAGTAGGCCTTTTTTGGACTTTGGAGATGATATATATCACATGTAAGTGTGAGATTGGACCCATCTAAGAGTTATCTGTAAGTCAGTTTCAAGTGAAAACCAGAGCAAGAGAAGGCTCTACAGCAAGTTTGGGCTGCAATAGAAGCCACTCTACCAGCTTGGCCTTATGATCTAGCATAGCTAATGATATCTGAAGTGCCTATGGCAAATAGGGATGCTCTGTGGAGCCTCTGAAAAGTACCAATAGGAGAATCACAGCACAGACCCCTAGGATTTTGGAGCAAATCTATGACCTCTTCCACATCTGTTCTGTTCTATTCTCCTTTTTAGAAACAGCTTCTGACTTGCCACTGGGCCTTAGTAGAGACTGAACACCTAATCACAGGACATATGGCCTGAGCTTCTCATCATGAACTGGGTGTTGCCTGACCCATCTAAACATAAGCTTGCACACATGCAATATAAATCTGTCATAAAATGGAAACAGTGTATAAGAGGCCAGGCTTGCACAGGTCCAGAAGGTACAAGTAGGTTGCACAAGCAGATGTGGCTCAGACTCCTTTGACATCAACTTCTATTGCATCACCTCCCTTCTCTTAATCAATGCCTTTGGCTTCCTGGGGTGTTTTTTTTTTATAACCAGTTGACTAAGGAAGAGAAAACTCAATTCTCTTTTACAGATGAGTATGCAAAAAATTCTGGTACCACCTCAATGTGGACAACCGCTGCACAACAGCCCTACTCATGGGTGATCCTGAAGGGCAATAATAAAGGAAAATCTTCCCAATGGGCAAAATTTCAAGTAATACATCTGGCTGTCTACTATGTCTAGAGTGAGAGAAGGCCAGAAGGATCTATATTAATCCATGGGCAGACCATATATTTTGGCCATACGGTCATGAACTTATAAGAAACATAATTGGAAGATTGGTGAAAAAGAAGTCTGGGGAAGAAGCAGATGAATGGACCCCCTCAGAATGGGCGCACACCATGAGGATATTTGTGCCCATATGAATGCCTCCACAAAGGGTATCCACTGCAGAGGAGGTTCTTAATAATCAGGTAGACCAAATGATGCATTCAGTGAATGTCAGTCATTCCCTTTCCCAAGCCACCCCAGCGCATGCTTAATGAGTCCATTAACAAAGTTGTCATGGAGACAGAAGTGGAAGCTATGCACAGGATCAACAACAAGAATTTCCCCATAAGGTCAACTCGGCTAAAGCTACTGCTGAGTGCCTAATCTATCAAGAGAAGAGATCAAACTGAGTTCCCAATAGACACCATTCCTTGGGGAAACTAGCCAAACACCTGGTAGCAGGTTGACTACATTGGATCTCTTCCACCTTGGAAGGAGCTGAGATCCATCCTCCTGGGAAAAGGTACATGTTCTGGATATCGATTTGCCTTCTCTGACCATAATGCGTCCGCCAGAACCATCATCTGCGGACTCACTGAATGCTTTAGCTACCATCTTGGCATTCCCTGTAGTATTAATTTTGACCAAGGAACTCATTTCATCGCAAAGAAAGTGCAGAAATGGAATCATGCCCATGGAATTAATTGTTCTTGCCACACACCCTATCACCTGGAAGTGGCTGGACTAATTGGAAGGTGGAATAGCTTGCTGAAGACTCAGTTACTGCACCAGTTGTGAGTCGACATCCTGAAAGGAATGGGTTCTGTCTTACAGGATACTGTATGTGCTTTGAATCAGAGACCACTGATCCTGGTTATGAAGAACCATAAATAATAAAGAGATAGAAGTAGAAGTGTCTCCTCTCACTATGATACCCAATAACCTACTTTCCAACTCAGGAACCTTGAACTCTGGTGGTTTGGAGGTCTTAGTCTCCAGGGTGGGAATACTTCAACCAGAGGACACAAGGACAGTTCCATTGAATGATACTGTTAACCTGGCAAGCTTTTTTTGTTTGTTTTTTTAAAATTTTTTAAATTTATTTATGGCTGTGTTGGGTCTTCATTTCTGTGTGAGGGCTTTCTCTAGTTGCGGCAAGTGGGGGCCACTCTTCAATGCGGTGCGCGGGCCTCTCACTACCGCGGCCTCTCTTGTTGCGGAGCACAGGCTCCAGACGCGCAGGCTCAGTAATTGTGGCTCACAGGCCTAGTTGCTCCACGGCATGTGGGATCTTCCCACACCAGGGCTCGAACCCGTGTCCCCTGCATTGGCAGGCAGATTCTCAACCACTGCGCCACCAGGGAAGCCCAACCTGGCAGTTTTGAGCTCCTTATGCCACTGAAGCAAACAGCAGAAAGTGGGTTATTTACAGGATAGAATGATTGATCTTGATAACCAAGAGGAAATTGGATTGCAGCTAAAAAAATGGGGACAAGAAGAACTATGTCTAGAATGCAGTGGATTTTCTGGGTCATCAATGTTAAGGTAAAACTATAGCAAATGAACAAACAAAAAGTAGAATAACCGGGGACTCAGACCCTTTGAGAAGGATGGTTTGGGTCACTCCATCAAATGAAGAATTTTAATTAGCTCAGGTCCTGTCTGAGAGCAAGGAAAATGAAGCATATGTAGCAAAGAAGGAAGCCATAGACATCAACTGTGAGCTCACGACCAATTACAGCCAAAGACCGTAATATGGAACTCTGCATATATTCTCTTTGCTTGTTATATATATGTGCTTATTTTTTAATTTTTTAAATTAATTTAATTTATTTATTTATTCATTCATTCATTCATTCATTCATTCATTTTTGGCTGTGTTGGGTCTTCGTTGCTGCGCGCAGGTTTTCTCTAGTTGCGGCCAGTGGGGACTATTCTTCGTTGTGGTGTGTGGGCTTCTCATTGTGGTGGCTTCCCTTGTTGCGGAGCACGGGCTCTAGGCGCACGGGCTTCAGTAGTTGTGGCATGCAGGCTCAGTAGTTGTGGCTCACGGGCTCTAGAGCGCAGGCTCAGTAGTTGTGGTGCACGGGCTTAGCTGCTCCATGGCATGTGGGATCTTGCCAGACCAGGGGTCGAACCCGTGTCCCCTGCATTGGCAGGCGGATTCTTTTTTTTTTTTTTTGCGGTACGCGGGCCTCTCACTGTTGTGGCCTCTCCCGTTGCGGAGCACAGGCTCCGGACGCGCAGGCTCAGAGGCCATGGCTCACGGGCCCAGCCGCTCCGCAGCATGTGGGATCTTCCCGGACCGGGGCACGATCCCGTGTCTCCTGCATCGGCAGGCGGACTCTCAACCACTGCGCCACCAGGGAAGCCCCAGCAAGCGGGTTCTTAACCACTGTGCCACCAGGGAAGTCCCTGTGCTTATTTTTATATGCTGCTTTATTCTTCTTATTTTTGTCTTATGTAAAATTTTAACCTTAATTTTACAATTCGGTCTTTAGGTAACAGACTTTTCCGTGGGATCGTGAAGAACAATTAATATAACTAGCAATGGACACAGGGAACTCTGCTCAATATTCTGTAATAACCTAAATGGGAAAAGACTTGATACGTGTATAACTGAATTACTTTGCTGTACACCTGAAACTAACACAACATTTTTAGTCAACTATACTCCAATATAAAGTTTAAAAAAACCAAACTAGCAATGGATACCATGACCATGGGGATCACACTTCTCTTCACTTTGGGGAAAGGGTGAGAACTTCTTCACTTGTAACAAGGATAAATATATCTTATTAGATAGGAAGCTTAATCCCATTGGGAATTTTTGAGAGACAGTGCAGCACTGACACCTCAGGGTTATCCCCCTGGGTCATGGCAGACAGGGTATTTCTGCACAAACGCCCATCAGTCGTCAGTGGTTGAAAGCTGCTGGGAAGGGGATTGTTAACGTCCCAGTCCTCCCAGCCTGACAGCCTGACAGCAACAGGAAATCCTTGGGCAAAGAAATGCAGGTGTCAGCTGTCGGAAGTTGCTGAAGTGGTGAGGGCAAAAGGATACGGGTGAGGCCCCGAAAGTGTCTGCTATACCGACGTTTCTTTCTCTACAAAATGGGAAGGAGAATTTCCACATCACAGGGTTGCCTCTGTGCTGCTGAACTGCACACTCCAGGGGTTTCTATTGGTAACTTGGAGGCCCTGAGCTGCTGTGAAGATGAAAGGAGGTGGTATAGAGCAAATGCCTGACACACAGCAGGCCCTCAGTATGTGTCCATTCCCTTCCCTTTTTTCATTTTAATAATTGCTTCACCATATGGAGGACTTACTCAGTGTCAGACACTACACTCAGTGCTACCCACACCCACGATACAGGTATTAACCTCCTTATACAGAAAAGGAAACAAAGGCTCAGAGGGCTTAAGTCACTTTGTCCACTCCCTGAGCACATAAGCACCGTGTCTGTCTGACTCCAGGGCCCTTGCTCTTAACCTCTACCCTGTCCTGCGCTGCCAAGGGCTGATTCTGACACGCTGCCCAGTTGTGCTTTTTTCAGAGCTCGGGTGCCACATGCCTCAATCAGCATCCTCCCTCAAACATGACCCAGATTTGCTGTGGGAGAAGCTGTTGCCAGGAACTGGCAGGTCTTCTACTTCTGCTCTGCCTTCTTAACTGGTGTCCCACCAAGATAACTCAGATGGATGGGAGAAGTCTTCTTTCTACCTGCCCCAGGCTTTGGTCTCTTCGGCCCACACGTGTCCCAGAGGCATCATGAAGTATCACCTCTTGAGCACCTCCTTGGGGGAATTAATTTTGAGTCTAGGCCTCAAGGCTTGAAGAGACAAGAAACATGGCAAGGCACTTTGTTCTATCAAACTAGTTTATCTGAGCACAGAAGAAATGGACATTCTGCCAATTTTCTGTCTCTCTGCCTTGGAGGAGACAAGCGACACGGCAAGGCTTTT